TTTTAATTCTACTAATTGAATTTGATTCCACCACTCTGGCAAAAGTGCAATCTGAGTCTGATGTAGTTGGTTTATTTTATCAATTCTCACGTTTAAGCTTTTCCTCTCGTCAAGATTGATTTTCTCCTCTGGGCTTTTCATGCTTCTTTTTTGTAACTAATATAAGAATTTAATTTCTCTATATATTTCTGACCTCGGGACCGATTTTCTTTCTTGTGCTTTAGTTTTCTTGACATTAATCCATGGTATGTGTTTTAATGCTGCACTCATTATTGAGCCACTAATTTTTTTTTTTTTTTTTTGATTTAGTTTTTTCTTGTTCGTTTTTTGTTAAGTTTTTATTTTTTTTTTCCATAAAATTCATTATCTGATTGTTCATTATCGATGTCTTCAAGCTTAACACATTTAGATGAATATGAATTATTTGATGAAACTGATTCGGGTTTGTTATATAATTTATCTAAATTCTCTGAAGATAGACTTTCATCTTCTTGCTTTTCTTTAGAATTTTCAATAATACTTTGGTGCATTGTATATAATTTCGAATGAATTAAATTTTTAGGAGTTGAAGTAGTTTGAAATATTATATTATTAAAATATTTTTTCTTGCTTTCAAAACGTATATCAACAAATTTGATATTAGTAGCATATATATAGAATTTACTATTAAAAATTTCTAATTGTCCAACCACAAAAATTAATGATTCTTAAGGTTTGATAGTATTTTTTAAATGCGTAAAGTGTGGATTGAGATATAGATATATAACTTTTACTATAAAATTATATTCCTCGCTAATGTAATCAGTTATTAATGATTGGATAATGGCATTTTCATTATTTTTGACTTCTCTTAGAATTTTTTGAGGGATTCTGATTAAAGATACTTTTAGTGGACATTTGTTCGATGTTGTATCTTTGTTGAGAATTGTTAAATGTGTTGATGTTAATATTGTCATCTGAAAATTAACATGAATTTTAGTTTGTTTTTTTTTGTTTAAATAAATTATTATTAAACATTTTTAGCATATCTTTGTTTGTTTTTTTCTTTGTAATAACTGGGTACAATTTTATCTCCAACACTATAAAAATTATTCTTCTCAAAAACCGCTTGTGTTTCCAGATCTCGTTCATCTATATTTGTCAGTACAAATTGAGTCATTTCATTGTTGTTGTTTTCTTGTTCTATTAGATATTTGCCAATAGCCCATACTCTAGTATACTTGGCATCTTCTTTTTCATATTTTTTGATATGTTTAATTCTTACTATTGTGTTCGCATAGCATGGTATTTTTTGTGTTTTTATTTTTAATTTTTTTTTTATTTGTAATTTGTAATGAGTTGCGATAATTTTTTTATTTTATTTTTTTTTTTATTTCGTTCCTCCTAATTTATATATATTTTTATATTTTTTTTTTTATTTGGAATTTATTTATTTGTTATCATTTCATTATTTTAAAGTTTTGGTTATAATATTTGCGTCATTTTTATTGTTCCAAAAATAAAAATAAAATAATCGTTCAAAATTATATTAATGAAATTAAACCATATTAGATACTTTTTGAATTATTTGTCATAACTACTTGTATTAATCATAAATTTTATAAATTAATTCGTAATTCGCATACCAATCAGTGAAAATCAATAGTAAAATTTGGTACAACTTTTGTAAATCATTAATAACAGTTTAGTGAATAGCAGTTTTTGAATATTAAGACTATTCTTAAAAAATAAAACTTACTTATATAATTATATTATAGATCGAATATTTGAAACTTCAAGATATTATTTTAATTTTTTTTTTTTATTTCTATTAGTGTAAAAATATTTTTATTCAACGACATAGCCAGATTCCTAGGTAAAAGTTGTTTACAATTTCAATAAATAATTACTTTTTTTTTTTACTTGCAATTCTTTTTATTTGCAAACTTACTAAAAATATCTTTTTTATACTTCTGTTTTAACTTCTGACTCTATATTCTGTTTAACATTTTCAAGACGTTAAAATTTAAAGTTAGATCTCTATGAAGAATCAACTATAAGCCTGATATAATAACCAAGTTACATCTATTATAATGAATTCTCGATATACAGTGGTTCAAAAAAGATCCCATTTTAAGAATCTTTGATTTGGATTAAACAAACGCTATGAAGAGCAAGAGTTCAAAATTATTGAAATAGGTTAGCCCTCTATGAAATATTATTGTAATTATTTCACTGTTTTTGATAATTTTGGGCTTAGACAAATGCTAATATTCACAGCATTCATTTAAAACTAAAATTATTGAAAGGGATTTGCCATTCATGTATATCGGCATTATATTACTAACTTCTGACTTGAATGTTAATGTTTGGCACCATTTAATGTCATCTTAGATCTAAACGAATCCCACAATCTGTAGTATTGCTTAAGCATAGTCATTGACCATTCTTGATTTGCGATCACTATAATATAGATTTAATATAGCAAAAAAATTTAAACCCACAAAATTATTAGCTCAATATAAATAATGAAGATTTTAGACTTGGGTTACTGATACGGGATCGCTTAAAGCCAGTTCCATCAAGAGCTTTTGTTTATTCTAATTTGGTAATTTAGAGTATTTGTATAAATATATAAATAAAATTAGTAGTCTTTGGGGTTTAATATGTCGAATTGGAATTGAAAAATCTATATATTAAAACATCCTGTATATTTTTAAAATCTTACAATGCTGATTTTACTAGCAATTAAAATCAATATCAAATAATAATTCAAGATATATATTAGTTTTCAAAAAGCTAAAACACTTTATTAATAATTGAATTACAACTACATGAGCGAAGGATTTCTCTACTTGTTTAGATTTGTTCTAGCTACCTCTTTACGATATTGACGTGTATAACGGCCTATCCAGTTTTGAATAGTAGATATTTTTGGAACAATTTCACTTTCAATTTCGCCTTCAAGTACCTTTTCTTGGAGTGCTTGATACATATTTTTTGCATTATAGGATCACTCTTGTTTACATTACCTGCCAGAAAATAACCCTCCAGTATTGTCCTTACTTTTTTTGTGATTCTTTTTCCAGCCCCATTTTTGTTTCTCTTTCAACGCCTATCCTGATGATAGTGGAAAATTAATAGTGTTTGACCTACAAAATGTTATAGTAAGCAAAAGTTAAAGTGATTATACCTGTTGTTATTTATACTGGTGCGGTGGATTTTACCTTTAATTTTATTTTTATAAGAATAACCAATGCTACATAATACTTGGCGTTCATACTTTTCATCAGCATAATTTAATTCTGCAGATTTCTTATACTGTTCGAAAGCCCTTTCATCATCCTTGTTTGTTCTTATTTCATTTTGATAACAAGAACCTTTGATATATATTTTACTACTATCATCCAATACATTAGTCTTTTCAACAATAACAAAAACTATTACAATATTTACTTACCTAAATTGGTGATTTCATTAACTGTTTCTAGCTGAACTTCTAAATTCGACACTAAAATATTTTTATTTTCTTTTTCACTTGCTTCTATTCCTCTTAGTTTTAGTTCTTTTACCAAATTCTGCTGATTAAGACGTGCCGGTTTAAGATCTATTTTTAATTGAATTTTAATAAAAAAAATATAATCGATTTCTGTTTGTTATGCACACATTATCCCTTAAACCATATTCCAGGCAAATTTGCCTAGAATTTTGAAAAATATTTATAATTTTTTAAATAAAATTAAAAATTATTAATGATATGGGGTATAATTTATATATACAATATTTTATTTAA